AGTTCCCAATGGAGAGAAAAATATGGGGTTTTTCTTCCCACTACTTCCTGGTTCCGAAAAAAACGGAGGGATATCATACAATACCATTTTATTTATAGAGCACTTAAAACAGCTACAAGGCCAACCAAAGTGCTGTACAGACAGAACAACAGACAACACACCCATTCTCATCCCATGGATGAGACCCATTCTCAACCTGTCCATGTTCAACAAATCAGAGTCAGAGATTCTTTATTGTCATTCGCACCTCATGTGGTACATGTGGTGGAGTGAAATTATGTTCACAGGGTCCCAGTTACATTCAACAATAAAATATAAAAGAAAAACAATGATAACATCCACAATATTAACTAAGAAAAACATCAACTAAATATACACTAAGCACTAATAGCATAAAAACATCACGTTGAACATCAGCACAAACCTGAACACGAGTCCATGTAAGCAGATGAGCATGCATGAACACACTAACATTGAAACAGATCAGCAGCAATATTGAAACAAATCAGCAGCAACATGATGTGATTTTTTTACACATTGATTATTCTGGTTAAAGATTCATGAGTCTAACAGCCTCAGGGTAGAAGCTGTTCCTCAGTCTAGTGGTTCTACACTTAATGCTCCTCAACCTCCTTCCTGAGGGAAGCGGGTCAAAAAGTGTGTGTGCTGGGTGAGTGGGGTCCTTCATGATACAGGTGGCCTTTTCCTGCATCTGGAGGTGTAGATGTCTGTGATGGTGGGGAGGCTGACTCCAACATCTTCTGTGCAGCCTTCACCACTCTCTGCAAAGCTTTTCTGGTAGGAATTGAAAACAATTAAATCTCTCTCAGGCACCCCCCAATCATCTGACCTCCCATCACAACTTCTCGTTAACTCTGTTCCTGTGTCAATTAAGCACGAGATCCTGAACTGTTTCAACAAACATTTTGTTGCTTCTGGTTCTTTATTTGACACAGTTACTAATGGAAAATCAGCCACTTCACTTAATAACCAAACTTCTTCAAATCAAATCCCTCCTACAAGTCAATCCTCAGTTAATCACACCTTCTCTTTTTCTCCATTCTCAGTCAGTGAGGTCAATAAACTGTTAAAAGATCTTGATCCTAAAAAATCTGCAGGTCCAGATGAACTTCCACCTTACTTCTTAAGGCTGGCTGCTCATATCATCACAGTCCCTGTGACCCACATCTTCAATCTCTCCATAAGACAAAACTCCATCCCAGACACTTGGAAAACAGACTTTGTTCTTCCTTTGCTGAAGGGAGGAGACCCCACCTCACTGAACAACTATCGACCAATCTCTAAACTCTGCATTTTAGCCAAGGTTCTAGAAAAACTGATAAACTCTCAAATCAAAAATTACCTGGACTCATTTAACATCTTACCTCCACATCAATCTGGTTTCAGGAAACAACACAGCACAACCACTGCTTCACTGAAGGTTTTTAATGATGTTGTTGAAGCACTGGATGCTAAGGATTATTGTGCTGCACTTTTCTTAGACCTGTCTAAAGATTCTGACACTGTGGATCAGAACATCTTGTGTCATAAACTCTCAGAAATCGGTTTCTCAGATCACACCATTGGTTGGTTCTCTAACTATCTTTCAGACCGGAGGCAATGTGTTCAACATAATGGTACTTCCTCCAGTTATTTAACAGTCAACAATGGTGTACCACAAGGCTCAGTCTTAGGACCCACCCTCTTTACAATCTACATACATAATGTAGGTAAAAACATCCCTAATGCATCCATACATTTCTATGCTGACGACACAGTTGTTTATTGTCAAGCTAAAACAGTTGCTAAGGCTTTCCAGCTTTTGAAATCTGCATTTAACTACATCCAGACTGATTTGTTCCGCCTCAAACTTGTCCTAAATGCCGAAAAAACCAAAGGGATGCTTTTTTCAAATAGGAAGTTGGTTCTAGCAGTTCTTCCTCCGATTTTATCCTCAAAAGGTGTCCCCATTGAGTTTGTTGATTCCTATAAATATTTGGGTATCTTGGTCGACTCACATCTTTCTTTTAAGCTCCATGTGGAAAACTTGGTAAAGAAACTGAAAGTTAAACTGGGTTTCTTTTTCAGAAACAAATCCTGTCTAACCCTGAATGCTAGAAAATGCCTTGTATCTGTGACTTTCCTTCCCTCAATTGATTTTGGTGATATTATTTACATGAACGCTCCTACAAGAACCCTGCAGATGTTGGATGCTGTCTATCATGGTGCACTAAGATTCATAACTGGCTGTGATTATCGTACCCACCACTGCACCCAGTATTCATTGGTTAACTGGACATCATTAACTTCACGCAGACTCTCTCACTGGTACATTTTCATCTTTAAATCACTTCTTAGTCTGCTGCCTTCATACATCTCCTCCTACATGTCTCTGCGTGAGTGCAGCTACGGAGTGCGCTCTCAGGACATTATTACCTGCAGTGTTCCCTCAGTGAGGACTGAACTAGGCAAAAGGACCTTCTCCTACTCCGCTCCTGTTTCCTGGAATATCTTACAAAAAGATTTGAAGCTCTCGACCTTTGACCTCTCTAAGTGTCTTTAAGAATCTGTTGGACTCCTGGCAGGGACCAATGCAGACATGTTCCTGTTTTTAGTTTTATACATTTGTCTTGGAATCTAGCTGTTTTTTTGTTTTTTTTACCTTTTTCCTTTTAGCCATCCTATTTGTTAAAAAAAAAACAAAAAAAAAAAAACTGTAGTATGAGTTTTTATAACTGCTTATTGTTGTTGCTGTTGTCCATTGTTGTCATCTTTCTTTGTTGAAATCAGGTCTCTCTTGTAAATGAGTCCTCGAGGCTCAATGGGATTTACCTGTATAAATAAAGATTGATTGATTTCTTTCTGCAGCTGTGCAGCCTCCATGCCACACGTTGATGCTGGAGCACAAGATGAACTCCACAGCACACCTGTAGAAGGAGGTGAGGATCGAGCTTCCAGACCAGCTCGTCTCAGCTGCCTGAGGAAGTAGAGTCTATGATGAGCTTTCTTGATCAGGCTGGTGGTGTTGTTGCACCTTTGGGTCTGTCCACTGAACAGATCTGTTTAGAAAAGATGGGCCTCCCACAGGATGTGGTGTGTATGACTCAGGGTGCACAAGCTGCTTCCACCACAACGCTGTACACATCAAGTGGACAATTTTTCAGCGCTGGTGCACAGAGAAAGGCATGGAGGCCATCTCATGTCCAATAGGTGGCGTGCTGTCATTTCTACAGAAACTGATGGACAGAAATTTAGCGTTCAGCACAATTAAAACTTATGCTGCAGCTATTTCTTCCTGTTGTGAGGTTTTTCGATGACAGAACAGTTTTTAACCACCTGCTGATGGAGCGTTTTCTGAAAGGTGTACAGAGGCACAGACCTGTGTCATGTCCACTAGCTCTACAGTGGGACCTAATGATGGTCCTGCACACTCTGATCAAAGCTCCTTCTGAACCTTTAGATCAGGTTTTACTTAAATTATGTCATTAAAACAGCCCTGTTGTTAGTTCTGACATCAGCAAAGAGAGTGAGTGATTTATCTGCTCTCTCTGTTGCTCCCTCATGTCTCAGAATTCAAGCTGACGGCAGCTCAGCTGTACTGCGTTTTAACCCTGCTCTGAGAAGCATCACAAGCTCATTCAGATCGAGAGTGATAATCTTGGATGGGTTTTACCCTCCTCCTCATAATCCTGAGGAGGAAGCAACATCTCACCTCCTCTGTCCCATGCGTGTGCTTTCATGTTACGTAACGCGCATGGCCTCACTGCGCTGCTCTCAGCGTATGTTCGTGCATTACTGGGACAGCTCTTCAGGGCGTCCTCTATCCACCCAGCGCCTCTCACAGTGGTTCTGTGAGGCTATTTCTGAAGTTTACAGTTCATCTGGACTGGATCTTCCACCAGAGGGTTTTCATCCTCCATGGCTCTGCATGGAGGGATGACAGTGGAGAATATTTGTATGGTAGCTGCCTGGTCATCGCCACGTTCAATTATTTGTTTTTATCTACGTGATATTTCTACTTTCTCCATGACCCATTCTGTTCTCAGTGTTCTGACAGAATGATTATTTGTTTCATGGAGCCTCACTTTTGAGCTCACACCTGCCTGCATGCAGTCGCACTGTGAGATATTTATTATCAGTCACAAGTTCATGACTGCTGATTTTATTGTTATTAACCGGTTCATCCTGAGGAACTGTTGGCCTGCTCTGTTTATCGTTACACTGGTACAATTCGTATCTTCCGTTGTTCCTATTCACAGCAGCAGGTCCGCTATCTCAGCCTTTTTCCTCACCAGAGATCTTTTCTCCGGTGCGCTCCTGCGCATGGAGCACGCAATTACGCAGCGCGTAATTACGTACACAAAAGGCTGAGTGATGAAATGTTTTTTTTTTTGTGCAAGCAGGTGCTTCATGTCGTGTCTGAGTGGACCCAGTGAGGCATAGACTACATCCTGCTTCGCCTTTAACCCACCAGCGACAGTCTCAAAGGGCGAAGCCTATACGAAATATAACATTGGTTACGTACTGTAACCCCAGATTCTATGAGTATAGGCGCAGCCCTTTCAGCTCTGGGCCTCACTGGTTCCTAAATGGCTGACTAAAAAAGCTATTTGGGAGCCGATTACCCGTTCGTTACATTTTTTTAAATACTATTTTATTTTCACTTGTTCTTCTCATTTTGTACGCATCTTTTATGAATGTCTATTGTTGTCATTGTTGTCATCAATCTTTGTTAAAATCAGGTCTCTCTTGTAAATGAGTCCCTGAGGCCAAATGGGATTTACCTGTATCAATAAAGTTTGAATTAAAAAAAATAAAAACTTTACTTTCAAGCAACATGAGAAGTGGTGGTGCAGAGGTTAGAGAAGGTGAGCCTGTGGTGGAAAAGTTGCTGGTTCGAGTTCCTGGATCAACAACATCAAAATATGTGTGGGAAAGGTGTAGCATCCACACCTGCCTCCGCCCTCATTTGCCCCACTCTGGGCTCATGAGCAAGATTCTTAACTGCCACCGTCTGCTCGTCCAGGTGTTCTGGAGCTGTCTGCTCCACACAGATGCCTGTGGTTGTCAGGAAGGACATCTGGTTTAAATCCCATTGCCAAGTCTTCGTGTGAGTTGGTTCTCTGTGGTGACACCTGGTGAAGGGAGCAGCCGAAAGAAGAAGAAAAATAAATAAATACTTCTAAACAATATGAAAATGAGAAAGCATAGTTTTCTTAAATGATAGTGGTGGTCACTTTACTCATATGGTGATCATCTTGGATTTTGACATGTCATCCAAATATTTGAGGGTGACCTTTCTTGCACTTAGATGTAGCCACAAACCAAAATGGAATTCTGTACCTCACGTCATGCTACCACACAATATGCAGGGACGTATACTGGCGCTAATACTTGGTGCTAATACTTGGTGCTAATACTTGGTGCTATTTAAATAAACTGAATTGAAATTGAATTGATGAAGGGTGTTTAAAACCTCCCTTCTTTGCTCCAGACAAAAAACAGGCTTACCTGGAACAACCTTTCTAATTGTTATAAGTGTTGTTATTTGTATGTCTGCTGTAGCTGTTGGATCTTTATAAAACAGGTAAAATGTGTCAACCGTTTGGTTTAAACTCTCTGGAAGGATAGAGGATTATTTTAGTTTCAAGACAAATCTCGGAAAAGGGGGTTGAAAATATTCCTAAAGTGATAATCTGGTCCGAGTGCTTCACTGTTTGGACTAAGATTTAATGAATTAATCAGTTTATTTTTTGACAACGGGAAGTTTAATATGTGTTTATGTTCCACCAACATGTCGGATTTTTCTGACATGTTGATAGATTTATATTATTCAGGAAATAAGTGATGTCTTCTTTAATGGGGTTATTTTCTTCCAAGTGGAGTCGGATGTGGAAGCCTGTGTCCAAAAAAGTTCAATCTGGTCCTCTGGACATTCAAAAAAACAAAAAACAAAGCAAAGCAAAAAAAAAATAGAAACGTTTTGTCTCTCATTCGAGAGACTTCCTCAGTCTGAGGTGCTGTATTCAGCTCAGTCTCTTAAATAGCACCTTCTCAGAGTGGATCAACCAGTTTGCTGCTGACAACCAGAACCAGCTGATCACATGCTCAAGAAGGACCATCAGCCTAACAATGGATCATTAGCACCTGATGGCTGTTTACTATTCACAGAGGGCTGAGTGATACTAGCAATCACAGCATTGTAAGAGGGGGACAGTTGAACCTGGAGGCTCCACCCCTGTTTAATGATGGACGGTTTCTTTTCACAAAGATGGCCTCCTTTACTCCTCTCTCAAACAACCGTTCCTCTCTGTCCAGGATGTGAACATCTTCATCCCTGAAAGTGTGACCTCTGACCTGGAGATGACTGTAGACCGCAGAGTCCTGGCCTGATGATGTTGATCTTCTGTTCTGGTCCATCCTTTTGGCCAGTGGCTGTTTAGTTTCCCCGATATAAGACTGATCACCCTCCTGACACTGAACAGCATACACAACATTACTCTGTTTGTGCCGGGGGACTGGATCTTTGGGATGAACCAGTCTTTGCCGTAATGTATTTTGGGGTTTAAAAGCCACTGGGACGTTATGTTTAGAAAATAAACGTCTCAGTTTCTCTGATACTCCCTCAACATATGGAATGACCACTGGTCTGGGTCTGGGTTCCTCCTTTTCACCTGATGGCTGACTGGAGTCCTGTTTGGGTTTCTTCTCTGCTTTCAGGAAGGCCCAGTTAGGATATCCACATTGCTCTAGAGCCTGTCTTGT